CATTGTTCACGATTCCCGCACCTAGAGTCCGAGTCGAGTCTGAAGTCACTGTGTGTGCGACTTAAGTCGTACTCGAGTCCGAGTCTCTAACTCAAGTCCCCATCTCGGAATTATAAGGTTCAGGAACAAGAGCAAACCTCTCTCTCTATTACTAATCCAACCACCTGTGCTTCACTCATTTCATTCACCTGTACCAGTCACATGCACATTCTCACATTCTTCCCCCCAAACCCCATTTCTCTCCTCTTCATACAGGCAGCTCGGTGGCCCAATTGACGGCACTGTGGCCTCACAGCAAGAAGAAACTGGGTTCAGACTATTCAGAATATTCATTAATTTTAGTTTAAAGGCCAATTTGTTGATTTTAGTAACTTTTAGATTAATTTATATTCTAAGTCTGAGAAAACAGTGAAAGTTCTCTGAAATCACTTGTAGGTGCCACTGAAGAACAAATCTGTTTGAGCAGCTGTTGCAGGACGCCGCTTTGTTTTAAAATGGTTACCTTACAAGTCAAAAAGGGTTGGGAGCCACTGATGCAGAGCTTATGTCTCCAACTCATGTCTAACAACAACCACATTCAGCAGTTTAGATCTTTTGCCTGCACTGATGTCCATAAAGCACTCATGTCTGGATTTCCCCCTCACTGATGAGACTGTCAAACCAGTTAGTTTTTCTGCTGACTCATGCTGCCCATCCCTTTTAGCCCACAAAATCTTTGTTCACGCACTTTATTAAACAATGACCCCAGTTAGGGACAAACAGACCTCAGTAGGTAATTTACCAACATTCTCATGTCACAACTGAAGACATTGTTTCTCTGCATGTACACCGTCTCATCTTTCACCAGGACAGTAAACACCCACACAGGTGCTCTGAGAAACATTCTCATGTCACATATAAAGACATAATTTTTATCCATGTACACTCTCATCTCTTTCACCAAATAACTCCTCATGACTGTCAGGTGGAGGGCCAACTTTGCTTGATTGCTATCTCACTTTCCAGTTAGTATTTGACGCGATCATTTTGTCAGTTACAGTTTTTTTACAACTGCTTACACACAAAATCTTTCACACGGTTTTTGAAACATCTCACTGAAAGAGCAAAACCTCACCTCAAATTTCCAAAACCATAAGCTATTTCTCTTTTTCAATTGCACTACACACAATTCTCTGGAGGGAAAAGAAGAGAAAGAAGGAGTGCCATCACTGATGAGATCAGTGCCACACTTAGAAATATAATTTGAACCCTCAGAACAAACTAATGGTTATTTCAGCAGAACAGTATTGTAAAATAAGTATTATTTTTAGCAATAAAAGTAAAAAATAGTTTATACAGTTTACGGTTTCCTTTTCTTGTATGCTGCTGGACAAAACACTGTGCTACTGTTACAGCAGTAATGATTACTCTGCATTGGTGTTTATTGGTGGTAATTTTCAGTACCTCTTAGCAGATACTTTCACCATAGAACATTGCATGGAAATGTACACATAAGCCCATGAAAAACAAAACAGCTTTAGATTTAGAACAACAGTGTGTAAATGGTATATCCAAGAACTTACTATTATGAAAAAAGTGTTTTGGGATGTGTTTGGCAGTTTGAATGCAGTGTTTCATTTTGAAGGAGAGGCATTTTGGATTTTGTGTGTGCAGTTTTGCGAATTGTTTGTAGAGTTTTGAAAAAAGGAGACAGTTTTGAAAACGTGTGTAAGCAGTTGCAAAAAACTGATCGATTCATCTTTTTTTCTATAGTTGTTTCCCAACTAACTGTCCAAAACCAAAAGATATGACGCGTGCTGTGAATATGAGCAAATCATAATACTTGAGAAGCTGGAACAAGTGGTTTGAGACAAAAATTCTACTTTGATGAATTGTCGTTGGGGTCGTTTAAATGGTTGCATGCAGAAAAAAGTGACTAATACCTCAGAAATTTAAAAAAACAGTCTCACTGAGATACAAAAAATTACTAACCAACATACAGATTTTTTTATTTGTACAAGTATTTGGAATATTTGGAATGGGTTTATTCAGCTTTTAAACCATCAAACATTTTATCTACTAACTAAATTAACATTCATACAATCTAACAGGATAAAAATCAAAAGCTGTTCAGTCAAACAGAAAATCAACAAACAGTTGATCAAACACAGTTTTGCAGCCACCTGAGATCACCTGGTTTTGTGTGATGTCATAGCAAGTCTGGGATGGTGTGGTGATCACCAGACCTGACTCAGCTACAACATGTGTATTATTAGCACACAGACTTTTATGAGCTCATGCATTCAACCTGTGTAGAGATCTAATCAGCTGGAAATACCTGAGTGTGATTCAATACAGGAGTCAGAAAACTATGAAGCTTTGTTCCATCAAAAGTTGTAAATAAGCATACCGGTTGTTGGGACATAGGTTCTTCATGTGAACACATGTCACATATTATATGAAACAGGTTCTGCAGCTGTTACCAACAGGGGGAAAACCCAAACAGAATATCAAACTGATTGGGCATTTGCCAATAAAGAAACAATTACACCACATTACAAAATGTCTCCAACTACAGCACAAGTACAGCAAGTTAAATAACTTGACCTTAGACCTATCTCCCTTTTTTGTCAAAAGTCTCGGAGAGAGTGGTTTTTAATCCGTTTTAGATGATTTTAGTATTCGTCCAATGTCAGCTGGGATTGGCTCCAGCTCCCCTGTACGCAGGATAAGCGGTTGACGATGGATGGATGGATGAATCCCTTCCATTGCCACAGGTGTATAAAATTAAGCACCTAGGCATGCAGACTGCTTCTACAAACATTTGTGAAAGAGTGGGTAGCTCTCAGGAGCTCAGTGAATTCTAGCGTGAAGTCCATTCTTGAAATTTCCTCACTACTTAATATTTCACAGTGAACTGTAAGTGGTATTATAATAAAGTGGAAGCAATTGGGAACAACAGTTCCAGTGAACGGAACTGTTAATGCTTCAGCATACCAAGACATTTAGGACAATTTCATGCTCCCAACTTTGTGGAAACAGTTTGGGGATGGCCCCTTCCTGTTCCAACATGACTGCAGACCCGTGCACAAAGCAAGTTCCATAAAGACATGGATGAGCAAGTTTGGTGTGGAGAACTTGACTGGCCTGACTTCATTAGAGCTGAGACTGTGAGCCAGGCCTTCTTGTCCAACATCTGTGCCTGACCTCACAAATACACTTGCAGAAGAATGAACACACTCCTAAACCTTGTGGACAGCCTTCCCAGAAGAGTTGAAGCTGTTATAGCTGCAAAGGGTGGGCCAACTCCATATTAAATCCTACAGATTGAGAATGGTGATGACGATGATGTCATTAACCTTCATGTGCATGTAAAGATCACAGAAAATCAAAGACTTGTTTAAATACAGGTGCTGTTAAAACAATAACACAATAGCCCCCTCCTGTGGCCACATGATGCCACTGTGGCTCTAAAAATTCCACAAATCACCAAAGGATTACAAACTCAGATATTGCAACTGCAACATCCATCCATCCATCGTCAACCTCTTATCCTGCGTACAGGGTCGCGATGGGCTGGAGCCAAACCCAGCTTACACTGGGCGAAAGGCGGCGTACACCCTGGACAGGTTGGCAGTCCATCGCAGGGCCACACAGACAGACAACCAGTCACACTCACGCCAATTTAAAGCCACCAATCAACCAAGCATGTCTTTGGATGGTGGGAGGAAGCCGGAACGTCTGGAGAGAACCCATGACCTTCTTGCTGTGAGGCAACAGTGCTAATCACTGCACCACCGCGCCACCCCTGCAACATGCACAGTCTCCTAAAACTTTAAAACATGCTCTCACAAAAAGGGTAAAAGCACTTTATAGAAACCCACTAAAGCTGTTAATAACTGAGTTTATTTATGATTATTTTTATGTTTTAAAACATTCTTTTCACATTCATGCGCAAACTAAAATCATCAGAACAAAAAAATACACTTAAAGTGTAACTGAACAGTAAGGTTACTCGTCTGTACATGAGAATTCATTTTACAACTGAACAATTTGCTCTAACTCTACTTAAGTAAGTAAAAGTATTTTGAGGTACTTGCCTATGAGAGTTGGAAATAATAATAATAATAATAATAATAATTAAAAATGGAGGTGGTAAAAATGGATGTGAAAGGAAAAATAGAGTGATGAATGCTCAAGTGATTTGATTCATTTAAAGTCGATTTGATTAAAATGTGATGAAAACAGAACCATGTTTGGTCATTTTCATTTACCAATAATCATTCACAACTCAAAATTGGCATTCATCATTTAAAGAAAGTAGCCTCAAGGGTGGAGGTAACAAAAAGTAAATGGACAAAATGGAGGTGCTGAAAATGCATGTGAATTGAAAAACAGAGTGATTAAAAATGAGGTGAATTGAAAACTGATGTGATAAACTTGATTTTTCATTCATCATTCACAGCACCCAACTGTCATTTATTGTTTACTGCATGTAATTCAGAAATTGTGAGGAAAGCGTTGTTGTTTTCTTTCAGGGAGGGTAGGGGGACATTCTTTAGGAGAGCAGGAGACGGTTTCTTAACTGTTACGACCCCAGCTCTCAAGCCGCAACAAACAAGGAGGACTGAACTTAATAATAAACGGAAGTTTATTAATACAGCAACCAAGGAGTAACAATGAGGTGTGGAAATCAGTCATATCAGTAGTGTAAGATGGTGCATGTGTTAATATGTGGTGCATGTTGTCAATGTAAGAACAGAACAAAACTAGAAGGTAGCATGACAGAGCGGGGTGGAACAGGAACCACCGTCTATACAGGCAGGCTTAATAACCACATGGACCCTGGCACCTATTTCCAGGAAAAACTTCCTAAAATAACATACCCAGTAATATCTCCTCAATCATTAGATCTAGGTGCATATTTCTAGTCTCCTTTGAAAGGGCAGAAGCTAAGGAATATAAATCCATTGTATATTAACTGTCAGGGCTGGTAACAGAACCCAAGAGCAGACTGGAGCTGGAGATGAACAAAAGAGTTTTATTTATGAAATGACTGAGGGAAAACTGATGGGGGGGTGAGGCAAGGCCTGGGTTCCGAAGGAGAGGGCTAGCAGACGAGGCGAGGGAAACTCCAGAGGGTGTGCTGACTGGCAGGGAAGACCTGAGAACCACAGAAGCAGGGCAGGTTTCCTGAAGACAAGAAACAGCTAGTGTAAGCAGGCAAACAGAGACGCAGGGTTACACAACAATCAGCGTGGACTGGAGAGTTGGCCAGGGTTAAATAGGGACTGGTGATGAGGTAATGCCCAACAGGTGCGCTGAAGGCCACGCCCACCAGCTCTGGAAAACAAGGAAGGGGAGACAGACAAACACCAAGCACACAGAAACACTCAAAAGGCAAAAATCATCAGACTACATGGAGGTGCAATACAGAAAAAATATGATATTTAAAACCCTAACCCTCATAAGGTAGTTTATAATGCACCTGAACATCTTCTAATACGCCTGAAATACAACTGTAACTGTAAATTTGATGAAAAGAAACTGATACACAAAAGTTATTACACAATCTTTCAAAAATATATCAGGTGAATTTCCATGTTTTGGTCATATTTACTGTATATATGCTCACTTTTATTGGGCGTTATCTTCAAAACATTGTTTCGCTCCATACAACCATGTTCCAATAATATTGATAAAAACAGTCAATATATATGACCAAAAGCACTCCCATGCTTTACAGGCCACATCTTGAGAACAGAACATCCTACAGGGCTCTTTCTCTTCGTATTGAAGAGACGAATCGATTGATTTCCTGGATGTCTGTGTAGCTCCTACGGGTCGCCAGCAGAAGCCGATAAAGACCGCCTCCGCCAAAGCAAACTCTTCTTTTCTACTTCAATCTGACGAAAGAAACGAAACTTACCGGCTAAGCCGACCTCACCATGATGGCGGCCCACCAGACGTCTCTGTTGACACAAAGGGCCGCTGTTTTTGGACAGAACATCGATTACTTCCCCGGTATCGGGAAAGTCAGTTACCAACTTGGGCTCACAGGCCAGCTACTCCCACTTATCCTGAACGCCTGCAAAGACACACGCAGACACACAGTATACTGTTTTGTTACTACTGTTATAAATAAGATAAATTTAAGGTATTAGAGGGACGGTGGTGTTTGTTTTTACAGAGAGGAAGTTGCAAAGAAAATAACAATTACTGTAATAAATATGACTTTTTACAAAATGAAATACGAGATTCCTGTGAAATTGTTGGCTCCACCCTGATTGTTCCCACCTGTGCATTGTTAATCACCTTCCTCTTGAAGTGTCTTCCCATTGTCTGTTGTTGAGTACTCAACTGCCGACATCAGCTCCTGGTCCCTGATGATGCCCCGTCGACTCCTGCTCCTTGTGGCCAGAACTCAGAGCACCAGCCCCTTTGCTAAGTTCCCCTTCGAGGGAACTTGAACTGCGTCGGTTACGACACTATGGGAATGCCTCTAGGCGAAGCAGGTCTGAACGTGAATGAAATCACTCCAATCCTATTGGCCTGTTGCTAGAACGGTAAGGTGTGACGGAATAACCGGAGGAGTATAAAGCACACCTGTACACACTCATCATTAGCTTTTTTTTATTCAGCAGGCGCTCTGTATGTTGTTTAAAGAAAGCTCCAGTCCTACAAGCAGTATGTCTTACCTGAAGAAGAAGTCTACCAGCATGTCCGGCAACCAGATGTACAGAAGGTGTGTTTTTTCTTGCCCTCGGTACATCACGGATGGAGATTCTCATGAGATGTGTGTCTCATGTTTGGGGATGGAGCACGCACGGGCAGCTCTCGAGGGGGCTCTCTTTTCCGAGGATGGCCGGATGTGTTTTCCCCGTGGTGCGGGCCCTGCGGCCGCTGAGGCGGCCCGGCGGCTTCACTCATGGGTTCACAGCGTGATCTGTCGGAGGATTTCGGGACGGCTGAGGCTTTTTCCCGACCTTCATCCGCTGGCTCCGACGCTTCTTTTCCTCGTTCGGGAGCCCGTTCTCGGCTTCTCCCGCTCGCGGTTTTGGATCCGGAGACGCTGCAGCAATCCGACTCCGAGGAGGCGGACGTGCTCAGCGCAGTGGACGATGACTTCCAGCCCGACTATGACGTGCTGCTGGAGGTGGTGACTAGAGCCGTGGCACGGGAGGAGCAGACACCACAGGCTAGTGGTAGCTTGATGAAAGGTTTCTTAAGCACCACACGCCACCTCCACGCCGGTCTCTGCCATTCTTTCCTGATTTACATGATGAACTGAGTAATCATGGGGCAGACCCTTCTCTACATGGCTTTCCACACCCTGATCACTGAACTACAGTAATGTGATAGGGGTTAGGGACCGTGGTTATGGGAGGATGCCTCGGGTGGAGGATGAGCTTGCGAGCTATCTCTCCCCTCGACTTGCGTCCTCCCTGGAGAAGCCGGCGTTACCATCCAAACCATGTCGCACCACATCCACGCTCGTGGGGAAGGCGTACATGGCAGCGGGCCAGGCAGGTGCGAGCTTGCACACCACGTGCTTCAAGCCTACCAAGCCAACCTGCTACAGGAGATGGTTCAGAGGGGGGGTCCCTCCGAGGAAGATCTGGCGGAGCTTCGCAGAACCACGAAGCGTTAGACGCAGTGCGAAGCGTTCCGCCAGTACCTCCCTCGCCGGTCTGGACCCAAGGCAGCTGAGGCTGCCAGGCGTAGGTCCCTTCCCTCTACGAGCTCCTACGGAGAGGAGAGGAAGCAGAGTGTCGCTTCTCGGGGGCCCCCCCGAGGAGCTGGGGCAGCGAGACGGCGCTCTCACCCTCAGTCGTCTGAGAGACGCGATCTGTGGACCGTCATCCAGTCCCGACGGAGCTCAGGGAAGACCGGGGTAGGGGAGTCTTTCTCCCTTCCCGCACCCCCCCACCCACCCCCGGAGGCCGACCGAGGTCCCCTCCGCCGTGGCAACAGGTGATGTTATCCCGCCGTTTACACGTTCAGGACGCACCTGCCACCATCGAGTCCGCGCCGTACTGCCTGCCCCGAGGGTCTGCAGGCGGACGGCATCCCGACTCACTCACCGTGGATCTTCGGCGGCTCCCCCCTGCCGTTCTGGGGCTTCAGGGGTCCACCAGAAGATCACACGAGACACCGACCACCAGCCCCGAGGGGCTGGTTCCGTTGGCAGACTTTGCAGACGCTTGGCGGAGCCTGACGAACATTTCTCCGCGGGTCCTGCGCACTGCCATAGATGGGTATCGACTACAGTTCAAAACCCGCCCTCCAAATTCAACAGAAGAGAGGGGGTGGTTTGGACTGTGGTCCGCCCGGAGCAAGGTCCGGTGTTGGGACAGGAAGTTTGTACTCTGCTGAGGAAAGGGGCCGTGGAACGTGTCTCCCCCCCAGACAGAGACGCCGGTTCTACAGCCGGTACTTCATAGTCCCCAAGAAGGACGGAGGGCTGCGTGCCCTATTTTGGATCTGCGGGTTCTAACCGGTCTCTGAGGAGATTCAGGTTAAAGATGCTCATCATCCCCGCCACCGTGACGCACATCCAATCTGAGGATTGGTTCGTCACGATAGATCTAAAGGACGCCTATTTCCAGGTCTCCATCCGTCCTTCTCACAGGAAGTTCCTGAGGTTTGCCTTCGGGGGTGTGGCTTACCAGTATCGGGTTCTTCCATTCGGCCTGGCACTTTCCCCTCGCACATTCACCAAGTGTATGGATGCAGCACTGGCCCCGCTGAGGCTCCGGGGCATCCGGATTTCAACTTCATCGACGACTGGCTCATCCTAGCCCAGTCTCGAGAGTTGGCGGTTCGGCATCGAGATGTCGTTCTGGCTCGTCTGCGGCGTTTAGGGCTGAGGCTCAACGCACAGAAGAGCGTGCTGGCGCCCACCCTACGGGCTACGTTCCTAGGGGTTGCATGGGATTCGACAACGATGCGGGCACAATTGTCTCCGGCACGTGTCGACACCATATTGGCTGCCGTGAAAGGGGTGAAGTTAGGCCACGCCATCACTATGAAACACTTTCAACGAGTGTTGGGTCTCCTGGCGGCTGCGTCCAGCATAATACCATCTGGATTGCTGCACATGAGACCCCTGCAGTGGTGGCTAAGGAACAAGGGTTTTTCCCCGAGGGGAATCCTCTCCGTCTGGTTTGGGTTACGCGCAAGTGTCTTCGTTCCCTATCAGTTTGGAAGGAAACTTGGTTCCTGTCCCAGGGGCCCGTGTTGGGAGGGTCTTGTCGCCGGCTGGTTATTTCGACAGACGCCTCCCTCACGGGCTGGGGCGCGGTCATGGACGGCCGCTTTGCAAGGGGATCCTGGCAGGTGCATCGATCCGAGTGGCATATCAACTGTCTCGAGATGTTGGCGGTGTTCCAGGCTCTAAGGAGTTTCCTGCCCGATCTCCAAGGCCACCACGTCCTGGTTCGTTCCGAGGAGAACAACACAGCGGTGGTGGCCTATCTGAATCACCAGGGCGGTCTGCGCTCGCGCCCTCTGGACAGACTGGTGCGTCAGATCCTCCTGTGGTCCCAGCAGAGGTTACTATCGCTCAGGGCGATGTATCTCCCGGGGACGCAGAATCAGGGAGCAGACCTGCTGTTGAGGCAGGGGCTGAGGCCCGGGGAATGGAGACTTCACCCCGAAGTGGTGGAGCTCTTGTGCGAAGAGTTCGGCCCCATAGACGTGGATCTGTTTGCGTCTCAAGAGACTACGCACTGCCTATGGTTTCTCTCGTTCCTCCAGCCCCGTTGGGTCTGGACGCCATGGTACATTTGTGGCCGAGGCTACGTCTGTACGCTTTTCCCCCAGTCGCTCTGCTCCCGGGGTTCTGGAGCGGGTCCGCCAGGACTATGTCGGCCTACTGCTCGTAGCCCCGTTCTGGCCAACCCGGGTGTGGTTCCCGGACATCATGTCGCTCCTGGACGGCCCGCCGTGGCGGGTCCCTCTGAGGAGAGACCTGCTGTCCCAGGCGCAGGGCCGGGTTCTTCACCCTTGCCCCGCCATATGGCGACTGTGGGTCTGGCCCCTGAGGGGGCAGAGTACCTAGTGGGCGGGTCTAACAACCGGAGCAGTCGAGACCCTCCTGAGCTCCAGGGCCCCGTCCACACGGAGGATGTACGGCCTGAAGTGGAGTGTTTTCTCCACTTGGTGTAGGGAGCGGTCGGTGGACCCTGTTACCTGCCCGGTGGTTCAGGTACTTGAGTTCCTCCAGGACCGGTTCTCTGCTGGTCTTTCCCCTTCCACCCTCAAGGTGTACGTGGCAGCTATTTCATCTTTCCACACCCCTCTGAGGGAGGGGTTCTTGGGGAAACTTCCCTTGGTTGTACGTTTCCTCCGTGGTGCCCGGAGGATGAGACCTGCGACTCGGTCCAAGGTTCCCACTTGGGATCTGGCAGTGGTTCTTGGGGCGTTGGCTGAGGCCCCCTTCAAACCCCTGGAGTCAGCTGAGGCTAAGCACTTGACCCTCAAGATGGCCTTTCTCCTTGCTATCACCTCTCTGAGGAGGGTGGGGGAGCTCCAAGCGCTTTCGGTTTCCCCGCAAAGCCTGGAGTTTGCCCCGGGGAATATTAGGGCTATCCTGCACCCTCGTTCAGGATACATCCCTAAAGTGCCTTCTTGTGCGGCAGGGTCCACAGTGCTGCAGGCATTTCATCCTCCACCTCATGTGACGGCGGAGGACGGGAGACTTCATCTGCTCTGCCCCGTCAGAGCACTGAGTATTTACACTCTGAGGTCCTCCCGTTGGAGGAAGGCTGACCAGCTGCTAGTGTGTTTTGGGTCTCCCAGGGCCGGGCTCCCTGCATCCAAACATACTATTAGCAACTGGATTGTTCAGACTATTTCCCTGGCCTATCAGGTGCGCGGTTTGCCTTCACCTGTGGATGTGAGGGCTCATTCTACCAGAGGCAAGGCGGCCTCTCGAGCCCTCCTTTCCGGGGCCTCTTGCAGGATGTTGTTTAGCGGCTGGCTGGGCCACTCCGCACACATTCATTCGGTTTTACAGTCTTGACCTTCCTTCGGCACCTGGCACTCGTGCGCTCTCCTCTTAGTCGTGCCACTTTATTGCACACAGGGGCAGGCGGGGTTTTCGGCACGGTTTAGTGGGTATCTCGTTCCCATAGTGTCGTAACCGACGCAGTTCGAGTTCCCTCGAAGGGGAACGTCTCGGGTTACGTATGTAACCCTGGTTCCCCGAGAAGGGGAACGAGAGACTGCGTCGGTCTGCCGCACCTCTCTCCCCGCCTGAAGCGCCTGCTTCATAGTTTAAGCTAATGATGAGTGTGTACAGGTGTGCTTTATACTCCTCCGGTTATTCCGTCACACCTTACCGTTCTAGCAACAGGCCAATAGGATTGGAGTGATTTCATTCACGTTCAGACCTGCTTCGCCTAGAGGCGTTCCCATAGTGTCGTAACCGACGCAGTCTCTCGTTCCCCTTCTCGGGGAACCAGGGTTACATACGTAACCCGAGACGTTCCCTGGACAGTTTTCCCTCACTTACTTCTCGTTGTCTGTGTGGTTTTGGCATTGTGTCATTTACTTTTTGGTTCCTATGTTAGGCTCGAGCATGAAGCATGCGAGGACCCTATTTAAATGCAAGGAAATATTATTTTCCCAAATGAATCACATTTTTCAGAAACTCAAACTTTCCACAGCATTCGATCATGGTGAAAATGTCCTTATGTCATACGAATGTTGTGCATGGGAATGGCAAAATGGCTCACTAGCGCCCCCTGCTTTGTTTTTAAATTTGGCCACAATCGGTAATATCACAATCGAGTTGCTCTGAGTTGAGGTAGCGTTAGCCATCATTGAACAGAGCAAATATCAAATATAATAATGAAACATAGACAGGGAACATTTTACTGCACAAATTACTACTTTTACTTTTGATACTTTAAATACATTTTCTGATATACTTTAACATTTCTCAAATTACCAACAATGCTCTTGAGCCTCTATTTCTACGTGATGTGACGTAAAAGGAAACACAGAGTACCTACAGTACCGCACACTTTGGTTTTATGGAGCCTGTGTTTTTTTGTTTTTGATTGTTTGACTGTATGTTATCAGAATTAATAGCATGATCAGGACATATTTATCTTTGAATACTCTGTGTTGCTATAATAAACACATTCTCAAACACATACCAATCAGCAAATCATGTTTATTGAAAGATTGTAGATAGCAGAAGATGCAAGAATTATTTTCCATGCCATGCTCATTTACATCCGTCAAAGAAGTTCTCGGTGTGGAAACACTGTTGAGGGGCATTCCTCAATACTTCCCTGTTTTAATGGGGGAAAAAAGCAAAACAGTTTGTTAAAACAGCAGTTACTAGTGTCAATAAGCAGCATCTGATCCCACAATTTTATTGCTTTATTACACCTCACTGTTTTTTATGTTAGTTCCCACACCTACAATTCAATTTTATTTGTTTGTAGATTCCCCGGCTGGATACAGTATTCAAATGTATATACAGTACAATCTTCAATGTGACCCAGTATTCAGCAAGAGAACAATACTGCCTAAAATCTTTTTTTGATCCTTTATTTAACCAGGTAAGTACGATTGAGGTCGGAAACCCGGGAGACCTGGCCAGGATGGCTGTATAAAAAGTTCAAAACAGGACAATACAACATAAGGCACACAAGTAGAAAAGTACTAAAAACCAGGTAATAATGTTAATGTAAAATTAAAGCTGCAAGCAGCGTTCAAAGGGCCCTTCCACTGTGACGCACACCGGGGCTTGTTGAGACCTCAAGCAATTCCCACAGATGTGGGAAAACAAGGTAGGCCTACTGCATTAGACGGAGACGTGTTTCTGTTTTTTAGCCTAGCCTCCTTAATTTAAGTGAGGTGGACAAAATAATTGATAATATCACTTCCTTAGCCCTTCATGCAGAGAAGGTTCAGCACACCACCTTTCCGGCAAAAATGTAAAAACTAAAATCTATCCAAGGTGGGTTAAAATTTAAGTGGACTTGGTTGGAGATACTTAAGGATGTTTCACCTTTCCTCCAAGAGGCTTCTTCAGTTCTGATTGGCTGGCATTCCCTGCCAACCTCTGTGGGGTCATTATCGAGGTGATACATACTGCTTGATTGCCAATGACCATCAACAATCATTCAGACTTGGTCTCAGGTGTGGCTCCAATGACCATGATAACTGTCATGGATGACAAACATCTTCGAGTATCTTCAACCAAGTCCAGCTTCCAGCTTTCTGGAAATGTTTTCTTTCTGTGTAACTATTCTTACCACCTAAATGTGAGGATATAACCGTTTATACTGTCGAGTAGCAGCAAAGCTAACTGTAACTAATGCTAATCATGCTATATGGCTAACATACCTAAGCTGGCTGTATATACACGATACATCCGTCTGTTCATGTAAATAAATTAAATTAACTTGTCACAATTTGACCTGTGTATATACTCCTCCTTTCATAGAGTATATTAGGAGGTGCGTCTCAAAAGGTACATTTCAGATAAGTATCACTTTAACATTGCTGAAGACAAACTTACAGCCAGTAATCCGTCTTCACAAAGCAATTAATGTCATCCATTATGTCGTCATCAGTGAAGGCTTTGGGGAGTATGGGAATAGAAAAAAAGTTATAATATGCAAATTTTAAACATCTTATTTAAATAATGTTTTTTTTATTTTCTGTGTGTGTCTGGTTGAAACACTCACCTCTGCAGCTTGTATCGCACTTGTTTGTGGACCAGGGATTACCAGAATTACAGAAGTAGCTGTCAGACAGCTGGAAGAGCCCATAATAGACAGGGGGCAGTGGACTCCTCTTGTGTCTGAGAGGACGGGAGGATGTATTCTTAAATTTTTCACCTTCCTCAAGCTCCAGCCTATCCCCTTCCTCCCTCTCTTTGTCCTCATCAGTCATTCTATGGTCATCCTGCTCCAGTTCCTCCTCATTAAACTTATTTTCTTCTTCATTCAGCAGTTCCTTTAGCCTTTCCATCTCTTTCGTGTCAGACTCCTGGCTGGTAGTGTTAGCCTCCCGCTTTCGCCTTATAGGTGTTTGGGTTGTTGTCGCTGGTTTGATAGTCGATGTCTCGGTAGTTGCTGCTTCAGTAGTCATTGCTCTGGTAGGCGCTGCTATGGTAGTTGTTGGTTTGGTAGTCATTGCTTCAGTAGTCATTGCTCTGGTAGGCGCTGCTATGGTAGTTGTTGGTTTGGTAGTCATTGCTTCAGTAGTCATTGCTCTGGTAGGCGCTGCTATGGTAGTTGTTGGTTTGGTAGTCATTGCTTCAGTAGTCATTGCTCTGGTAGGCGCTGCTATGGTAATTGTTGGTCTGGTAGTCATTGCTTCAGTAGTCATTGCTCTGGTAGGCGCTGCTATGGTAGTTGTTGGTTTGGTAGTCATTGCTTCAGTTGTCATTGCTCTGGTAGGCGCTGCTGTGGTAGTTGTTGGTTTGGTAGTCATTGCTTCAGTAGTCATTGCTCTGGTAGGCGCTGCTGTGGTAGTTGTTGGTTTGGTAGTCATTGCTTCAGTAGTCATTGCTCTGGTAGTCGCTGCTATGGTAGTTGTTGGTTTGGTAGTCATTGCTTCAGTAGTCATTGCTCTGGTAGTTGTTGGTATGGTAGTCGTTATCTTCGTAGTCTTTGATTTGGTGGTGGTTGCTTTGGTAGTCATTGGTTTTGTAGTCGATGTCTTGGCAGTCTTTGGTTTGGCAGTGGTTACAACTCGTGGTGATGGTTTTTGCCTGGCTGTCGTTGACGACTCCCTTACAAGGTCAGTGTTCAGATTTGACATCCCATTTACTCCACAGACAACTGCAAGCAGATTGCAGAAAGCAAACAAGGAAAGATTGATACTGGATTTTTTAAAAATGACATTGGATTCCTGATTCATGATAGATAATGAGATACCACTGTTTTATAGGAGCAAGGGAAACGGTTTTTGTTGTGGTTGTTCTGCATCTCATTGTAGTCGTTATGTGCTGCTCTGTAGTTTTTTAATATATCTCATGTCCTTTTTCATCTCTTTGTGTCGCTGTCATCTGATTAAGATTCCAATAAGAAATGTTAACAGTCACTTCAAGCAGAGGCTCTGGCTCAGGAGCCCCCACACCCCGCAGTTCAGTAATCCATCCATGTCCTGACTACATTGACCAAAGACTAAAAAAAAGATGGAACGTTATATTATCACATCTGGATTTGCAAAATAAAGCAATCATATCACAGAATCGTCCAATATGGAGACAATTGCTAATGATACTGGGTTGAATAACAAGATGACTATATATTTAAGGAAAATATCTTTATCGTATAATCAGGGAAAAAAATAAATAATCAACATAATTTACACAGCCCCATCATGTTTCCCAATGACTGATCTTTCCTCATAGCTATGAGAAAAGGATAAATAAATATGAGCAAATATCTATTCTAAAACATGTCTTTTTTGCCTCTTTGTCATCAACACTCCTAATTTAATGAAATCATGACAGTAAAATTCAGTCAGTAAAACAACACAAAGAACAGTTTTGCACTGATGATGGGAAAACTCATCACTTTTTATTACTTACAGCCTGACAGCAGAGTAACTGAAGATCTGACTTTGGCGGACTTTTCTAACCTCCAAGACGCCTACAGTAACCTATCATTTATTAACCTCACCTATTGCCAGGATTCTGTCCTTAAATCTTTTACGCATTCCCGGCAGGGAGATCGCCGCCCCAAGCTTGTCTTTCAGCTCGCATTTGGAGACGATCCGGCCCTCAGACAGGGTGGGCACCAGAACTGCCACAGTCAACACCACCAGCAATCCCAACTTCATGTCAACACCTTCTGTGGAGAAAATAGGAAACCTTAAAAATTATTATGCAGGACATCAACCAATGCAAGACCAACTGATTTCATTTGGATGACGGAGTACAGCTGAGTTTAACAGGATTCTTCTTTCTGGAAATTGTGAAACGAGGGAAATGCACAGAGAACAAGCGAACTTATCTATCTCTTAGCAAAATATACTTTTAAGAAAAGTCAGTCTTAAAGGTTGAATTTAAATCACAATTTAAATTGAAATCATTTGGTAGATTAGCAAAAAAGTTTATGTCCTTAAAATTATATTTTCTGAAGCAGCCTAAAAACAAAGTATTTTGAATATATTGGGTTTTTGTTCTTGTAGTTGCTCAAATGGTAAAATGTCTCATTTTACCCCTTTACTCTACAAAATCATCAAAATGTCCTTTTTTATTAATCTATTTGATGTAAAAATTACCATTTTTTTTAACATAAAATTTCTTTAATTATTTTTTATTATTATTTGTTTTATGTTGAAAGAGTCCTTCCTCTTGTGTAACTGAAATACCTTCCTTTGTGTGTGTTTTCCCACCGGTTTTGATCGTCTGTCCAACCCTTATTTGTTTCACCTGTGATAGTCGCCCTCCCCTCGCTTGTGTATTTAAGTTGTGTATTCCTCTTTCATTGCCAGTTTGTCTTTGAACAATGTGTCAGGTGTCCCTGTCATTTTGCCAGTGTTTGTTGCCCCTGTGTTTTTGGACTTTCTTTGTTTCCCTGGACCTTGGCTATTCTTTTGGATTTCGGTTTTTGCCTGCTCCTTAATGGATTTGTTGGGTATGATGGAGTGCTCTATGGTTTTGACGCTTGCCGATCTGACCTCCCCGTTAAGCCTGTGTAATCTTCCCTCTATTTATATTAAATCTTTGATCTTTTATTATTATTAAATCTTTGAACTGCATCTGCTCTGCCTCTGGTGTCTGCATCTGGGCCCAAAGTTTTTGTGTTTCTACTACCACACTTCCACAACCAAGACGTAAATGTCACCATTTGATGCACTGTAGCAGATTATAGCTTTAAAGGTTCAGTCTGTAATATTTAGGAGGATCTATTAGCCAAAATTCAATATAATACACACAACTGCCATGTTTCTACAGTAGCCCAAACGAACAAATTGCTCTACAGAGCAAGTTTCGTTTCTACACTGAATATGTATGAAAAAAGGAGAAGTAGTAGTAGTAGGAGTAGAGGAGTAGTAGGAGTAGTAGAAGGAGTAGTAGTCATAATCATCTAGTTTGTTAGAAGCAAGAAGAGACATGAAATAACAAAACATAAAAAACAAAAGCAAGTCATGAAGACCATGAGATAGAATTCATTAAATACACACCTATCCTCAGGAAGAGTGATAAAAAGAGACACCAGCTGCCCTTTAATCCAAATGATGAATTTTTAATGTTTTAATTTGTTTTTATTAATTAATATTTGTTATGTTTCAATATCTCTATTTAGTCCAGCTTCAAACAAAGTGATTAAAAATTAAAATCAATCAAATCAAATATCACTGTCATCTGTCATAAAGTAAAGCAAAAACTAATAATCATTATATAAAGAAGATAAAGAAAAGTTTCTTACCACGTTCTTCCACTTACAGTGTAAACTCTCTGAGTTTGTTGAAGGCAGTTTGCCTCTGTGTCTGCAGACAGATGTGTCTGAATTTATATATTTCAATTTCAACCTGTAGACCAATCAGGTTTGAGTAAGGTTTTTTTTACTTCATTGAGGAAATGGAACAGTGAATTTGTCAAAGTTATGACTAAACAACACACGAAGGTAGCTTTGAGTGAACATGGATTACATTTTTAGAAGCCCACAATGACATCAAAGAATGGTCAATGAACACAACAATTTACCAATTTACCACTGATGATGTCTTCCTTATAGCAAGACGATAATTTTGAAGTTCAAGTTTTGAACTGAGTGTCGTGTGTGTGTAGTGTCACATAATATATATCTATGACAAAAAAACATCCCCCTCTCACCCCTTGTGAGGTGGTATGTGTCATCCTCAAGCTCGGGTCCTCTACTAGAGGCCTGGGAGTTTGAGGGTTCTGCGCAGTATCTTAGCTGTTCCTTGGACTGCACTCTTCTGGACAGAGACCTCTGATGTTTTACCTGGAATCTGCTGTAGCCACTCTCCCAGTCTGGGGGTCACAGCCCCCAGTGCTCCGATTACCACTGGCACCACTGTTGCTCTTACTTTCCACATCTTTTCTAGCTCCTCTTTCAGCCCTTGGTATTTCTCAAGCTTCTCGTGTTCCTTCTTCTTGATGTTGCTGTCACTTGGGATTGCCACATCTATCACTGCAGCCTTCTTCTGCTGTTTGTTGATCAACACAATGTCTGGTTGGTTAGCCATCACCAGTTTGTCAGTCTCACAGGATCTTAGCTCGGTCATTCTCAACTACCTTAGGAGGTGTCTTCCATTTTGACCTTGTGACTTCCAGCCCATACTCATGGCAGATGTTCCTGTACACTATGCCAGCTACCTGGTTATGGCGTTCCATGTACGCACTTCCTGCCAGCATCTTACACCCTGCTGTTATGTGCTGTACTGTCTCAGGGGCATCCTTGCCCAGTCTGCACCTGGGGTCCTGCCTGGTGTGGTAGACCCCAGCCTCTATTGATCTTGAGTGCCTGTTCTTGTGCCACCATGATTAGTGCTTCTGTGCTGTCCTTCAGTCCAGCCTTTTCCAGCCACTGGTAGGATTTCTTGATATCAGCCACTTCTTCTATTTGTGTGTGGTACATGCTGTGCAGCGGCTTGTTCCTCCATGAAGGTTCTTTGTCTTCCTAGTCCTTATTTTCGGGTTTCTGCTGCCTGAGGTATTCACTAAGCCCTTCATCTTTGGGGGCCATCTTCCTGATGTACTCCTGGATCTTCGGCATTTCATCCTGGACAGTGGTCACCAGCCCTCGGCCTCCCTCGCTCCGCTTGGTGTACAGTCTCAGGGTGCTGGATTTGGGGTGAAACCCTCCATGCATTGTGGGGAGCTTTCTCGTCTTGATGTCAGTAGCCTCTGTCTCCTCCTTTGGCCAGTTTATTATACCAGCGGGGTATCTGATGACTGGCAAGGTGTATGTGTTGACGGCTTGGATCTTGTTTTTCCCGTTCAGCTGACTTTTCACAACCTGCCTTACTCTCTGTAGGTATTTGGCTGTGGCGGACTTCCTTGCTGCCTCCTCATGGTTTCCGTTAGCCTGCGGCACCCGAAGGTATTTGTAGCTGTCCTGAACATCTGCAATGTGGCCTTCAGGTAGTTCAACCCCCTCGGTTCTGATCATCTTCACTCTTTGATACCATGCGACCGCACTTGTCCAGTCCGAACGACATTCCAATGTCGTTGCTGTAGATCCTGGTAGTGTGGATCAGTGAGTCGATGTCTCGCTCATTTCTGGCATACAGCTCAATGTCATCCATGTAGAGGAGGTGACTGATGGTTGTTCCACTTCAGAACCGGTATCTGTAGCCAGTCTTTGTGATGATCTGGCTGAGGGGGTTCAGGCCTGTGCAGAACAGCAGTAGGGATAGTGCATCGCCTTGGTATATGCCACACTTGATGGTGACTTGTGTAATTGGCTTTGAGTTGGCTTCCAGACTTGTTTTCCACAGCCCCATTGAGTTCTTGATGAAGGCTGTTAGTGTCCTGTTGATCTTGTACATTTCCAAGCATTCCAGTATCCATGTATGTGGCATTGAGTCGTAGGCTTTCTTGTAGTCAATCCAGGTGGTGCACAGATTGGTCTGCCTGGTCTTGCAGTCTCGAGTGACTGCTCCGTCAACGAGTAGCTGGTGCTTGGCTCCCCTGGTATTACTACCCATTCCCTTCTGAGCCCTGTCCATGTACTGACCATTGGTTTTGCTTATTTTTCTTATTAATAAATCAATTTGTTATTTAGTTTACCTGTGTGTCTCCCGTTTTTGTTACAGTCCGAGGGCTGGGCTGTGACAGTACATACACATGTTCACTACTGTAAAATAGTATATTTATATAAAAGTATAAAAGTTGAGGTTTAAGGCTTTTTAATAATAAAAATTAAAAAGTCAACTACAGCCCATCTCTAATGTGATCATAGTGTTTACAGTCTTTCTCTTTAGCACCCCCAGTGGACATTTGTTTCTCAAAACTGTGGCAAAATGTACCTGAGGGTACGTAATTGTGGCGCTGCAAAAATGACAACACATGCAAACCACAAGCAAATAATGTAACATCTTTAACAATGTGACAACTGCTTCTTTATCACCCCCAAACACAAGTCTAACCAGCTTGGCTGATCATAGCGATATTTTCTGGTCTTGAACCGGTATTCAGATTTTTTGCGGAAGGAAATAACAGTAATCATTCAGAAGTCCGGGGATTTAGCATCAGCATATCAGTCTTCATCTCTTTATCTTGGACTTATCCCTGACAGGCTAAGTCAATTTGGCTTCAGCAAAAGCTGCCCTACTGCTGGACTCTTCATCAAGATTCTCAAACATTTTCTAGAACAGATGACCTACTCGGCTCCAAAAAGAACTGTGAGAAAACAAAATGGTGGAAAATGGTGTATTTATTTAAGTAATGAGGCTGATATTTTCACGTTCAGTGCACAACCTGAACTTTGAACTAAGCTAATATGCATTATCTTGATCAGGATTGTTTCCTTTATGTTCCACGTTAAAATGTGAATAAATACAACACATCAGCATCAACACAACACATCCACAGAAACCCAATCAAATACAGAAACGCTGCCAAAACAGAAGTAAGTTTCTAAGGGGAATCTAATAACAGAGTGCAATGTTACAATTCTTGTGGCTCATTTTAGTGTGTTTCTGTAGTTGGGTTGTCTGTCAGCAAGTCTCAGACTCACAGTGTGCCAAATCTTCAAATTTGTTTACATATGTATTTGTTTTGAGTATTATTTGTGTATTTATTACTGTTTTTTAATTCAGACATGGCACAGCAAATTTCGTTGTACATAAACTTGTGCAATGAC